ATACGTGACACGCGTGCCGTAGGTTGTCGACCCCTGGTCTAAACTATCATATACATACACCCGTTTTTTCAGATCAATAAAAATAGCTTCGAACGAATAAATCCTTTAAAGAAAACGATCTCTATATAAACTGACTGGCGCTACAAAACCAGAAAGAGTATTAGCAAATAATAAAAGCCACATTCCTTGAAGACTTTCAGTTCGAACTGGAGAAACAACAAAAATGGTTAGCATGATCAGAAGAGAAAAAAATCAGGTTAACTTTCCAAGCTAAAAAAAAAAAAAAATAAAAGCTTTGGAAAGAAAATCCCATCAATCCTAGAAAGCGTGATAACAATTGAGAAGTTTCAGTCAGTTATGTGCCATGCGTAATACACGCGTAGGTGATTATGTATCTTTCGATACATGACTGACGAGGTAGATTTTTTCCCGCAGTAGGTTGCCATTTCTTTTTGCAGTAGACCAGTTGCCACCCAAGGCTATAGAACCCAGTCTGTCCTGCTATTTACCCATAGCTGGAGAGAGAAGAGGGTTTATACCTTTCCCAAGGATATTAGCACGTAATTGAATGTAATGGATTTGACTGGAATTCGAACTCGGCTCTCCGCTATCCATTACTCCACCGTGCCTTTAATTTCTTGAAGAAATGTTTTAAGAAATAGATTTTATAAATTTCGACTATACATGCTGAATATTTCCTGTATGGAAACGGCCTTTTTCACCATCGTCCTTCATATTCTATATTTTAAAAACTACTTGATGAAAAAAGCGCTTCTTAGTTATTAACATCACTTCATAATTGTCTAAGTAAAATGTTGCTTTTTTTAATCCACCAAAACGGAATATTTATTTGATGTTATTCTTCTACGATATGGTCATTATTACAGGGTTATTATGTTATTATTATATGATTATTATGTTACTTACTTGAGGTTTTGTTGATAAAGTAAAACCTAGATGATGTTTGTCAAGGGAAGTTCTCAATACGTAGTCAAGGCTGATAACAAAGAGAAAAAGTGCAACGATGTCAACCTGGAGAACTCTTGTGATATCGAAGAAGTTAGTCTCTTCGACTGGGGGTCTAATCAATGATTTGATGTTTTCGTATAGCATCATTATGGGCGTTATTATCTCAGGGCGGATGCCATATGGTAGAAGGATCTTCTCCATGTTTCGCCTATATACAGAATCGAAGGGCAGTGATAGTTATCGTGATAGACTCGTAAATGCCCGAGCTAACTCGAACAAATAAAAAAAAATTATGTCATTCCTCTATGATATGGTCGTTTTCACATGATTATAAAAACAATGACTTGCGAATTCGCATAATCTGACACTCTAGAGCAGTGTTTCCCAACGTTTTACACTTGTGGAACCCTTGAAATATTTCTTTATGTCCCAGGGAACGCATGTATAAAATTATAATATACCATTATTAATATATATTTCTTTTATATTTTTATCGTTGTTCACGTGGCAGACATAATAATAGGACACTGTGCATGTATTCTATACCCAAATGAATCACAGTAATACGCGAATCCGCCACGTAGAGATCCTGGCCACTAACCAGTAAAGACGGTTTGACACTGACGCCATATAGGCATAGCTAAATACAATACCTATGATTATGATAATTTTAAATAATATAAAAGTTGAATCCTTTATTATAATAACCAAGGATTTTATAACAATATGCCGTATTAAAAATACGAATATAAAATTAAACAAAAATTACTCAAAAAATACCCTATCTTATATATCCCGGATTCTCGTGGAACCTCTAACGGCCCCTTGTGGAATAGTGGATTTCCGGAGAACACCGGTTGAGAAATACTGCTCTAGAGAGTAAATAAAAGAGAATCTTCTACTATGTACGTCCCTTCAGTACATAGGCAATGATGGCTTTTCATAACTTCCTATCTTCTGTGGCCCTTAGAAGTTTTTCTCTCTTTGCTAAGGCACCTAACCTTGTTCTTCCATCCATTCACACAAGCTCATCATGTAAGTGGTTCGATGTCTTCTCCTATCTCTCTTGCCCTCAATATACTCCGTGAGGGTTAACCCATCATTATTAGTCAAATGAATTTCAGCTTTCTTACCCAGTTATGGATAGAATAGCAGGACAGGTTGGTTCCTATCGTCTTGCTTGGCTAACGCAGAAAGAAACCGTATCCTACTGCGAGAAATCTTCTGCATAGTCATTCATGAATCGAAAGAGACATGATCGCCCAAATGTGTATCACGTATGACACTTACCTGGCTGACTATCCAGATTCTGAGTAGAAATGTTCTTTCTGTTGCCATTTTTGTTAAAATTTCCTTGTTGCTTACTCAATCCGTCGATGGAATTTTTAGTATCTTTCTGTAAAACTACATTTCTGTTGCCACTTCTAGTTTTCTCCTTATCCGTGGGGAGATTGTCCACCATTCACTGTCATATAAGATAATAAATAACACATTGCAATCCAGCACTTTTTTCGTTGTTTCTAACATTTTTTTTTCGTTTCTCAGCACTTTAGCTTTTGGAATGCTTTTTTCGCAAGTCCAGTGCGTGTTCGAATCTCGGTGTCCCATTTTCCGTCTGTTAAAACGTTTCTTCTGTACCTGCTTAATGTTTATATCTCCAATTCGCAACTCGCATCATGGGTTTTTGTTCTTGCTGCTGACTATATTTCTGTCTTCTTGCAGTTTATAGTCCTTTTTTTCTTGCTTTATTCTACCTATTTTCCCTTGCTGATCAAATAGATTGTGCCATACATTGTCAAATGCTTTTGCGTAGTCTATAAAACATAGGTGCAAATCTTCTGCGTTTGCATTGCTCTCTCTGATATAATTTTAATGATGAATATCATTTCTTGTTTTTGTGTTCTTGTTCTATTTCCTTGATTAATTCTGCTTCACGCTCTGTTCATCATGATTTACATCATTAGTTTGCTTATCTGGCTCATTAAACCGATCATCCGATGGGGCTCTCATCCATTTGCACTAATTTTCTTAAGTAATGTTACGAAGAGGGATTTACTGAGGTCCTCCTGTATGTCGTCACTGTTGTACATATATTCAGTTTATTATGTCTGTGACTTTGTCGATGCTGAAATTATCTAAGGCTGAGAGCATTTCTGTTACGATCCCATCATACCTTGCTGATTTATTCCTGTTCATCTCCAGTGCGGATCTTACTCCATCTTTTAATATTTCTGGTCCTTCTCTATTTTCCAGCGTAGGTTTCTCTTTCGCATCGTGAAATAGTTCTTTGACATATACACTCAATCTTTAGAGTATTTATTCATTTTTTCTTATCACTGATGCTTCCTTTGAATTTATAAAGCCTTTTGGTTGGCTCACGTTTCGTCCTGTTAATTCTTTTCTGCATACTTGCCGTATGTTGGTCATACTTTGTATTTCTGAGCACTTTTCATTTATCTATTCTTCTTTAGCCTGCTTGCATTCGTTTTTAATTTCTGTGGTTAGTGTTTTGTACTCTTTTCCAATCCTTGGCATGGTAAGTTGTCGCTTTTTCATCATTTCTAAAATTTCCTTTGTCGTCCGTTCGCTCTTTTCATGCTTCGTTTTCTTTTGGATGATCTCATTCGCCGACATCACTAGTGTTAATCTTAATGTTTCCGCTTTGATCTTGCAGTTTCTTTTATAACTCTGCTTTTGTATATATCCATACAACTTAGGTCCTTTCAGGAGTTTCCATAATTTTACACGACTGGAAGATGGTGGTTCCCGCTGTATGCACTTGGGTATGTTGGTCAGTTTTGAAATGCGCTTCTTAACATTTTGTTGCTAGTTACGTAATCAATTTGGTTCTTTGTGTCTCCTCCTAGGCTTCTCCATATCCACAGGCGTCTTGGTGACCCTGGAAACAGGTGTTGGTGATTATTTGTCCATTTTTGTTCACCGCTGACACCAACTCTCGATGCGCTCGTTTTGAGATTTTAGCCCGAAGTGGCCGACTATTTCATCTTCTCGTTCATTTCTTACCTTGGCATACAGATTTCCCATGATTATAATGATCTTTTGTGATTTACATAGGGCCATGACTTTGTCAAGAGTGTTGCAAATGTTATCGATTTCCTCCTTCGTGTTCTGCGCTACCGATGCGTATACAACTATACTTGTTATGTTAAAGGGCTTCTGTTTCACTTTAACTAACAGGGTACTTAGTTTAGGTAGTATCCCAGAAAACATTTCTTCATCTCACTATCCAATATTAGTCCTACACCCCTTTCATTTTCTCACCGCCTGCGTGTACTATCCTTTGTGTTTACGAAGTCCTCATTGCTTGCCCATCTACTTTCGCATACACCGTGAATGTTGATATGTAATCTATTAATTACTCGTTCGCTGTCTGAAAACTGGCCACATTGATATAGCGTTCTTACTTTTTAGGTTCCGATTATTATTTTTTGTTTGTTGTGAATAGCTACTGGATAATGGCCCAGTGAGACCAGTCGCTCACGTCTATCTTTGCCAAACGAGGAGTCGTTCCCAAGGAACTGAACCCCTTTTACGCCGTTATTTTTTGTAACCTACCTAAATATAGTTATCTCCTAAAGTTTTCGATTGCAATGCGTTATTGAAAATGAATGAAATCTAAACAGACATCCATTTTTTGAAATCACTTCACTCACTAGGCTATAAAAAACAATTTTCTATCAATATTTTAAATTATTTGAGGGAAGCCATTTTGCATTTAAGTTTCCGGATCTTTCGATATGACATCTTATTTGTATATTTATGATAAGATGTGAACGAATGGAGACGGCGCATTTGAATTCATGAAAGGCCATAACTGATTGATATGACTTCAGTGGTTTGATAGATATTTGGTAAATGTATTTTGCTCCGTTGACATTCAATTTATAAACTTTTAAAGTTGAGTCGCGAGGAAGTTTTGAACAAAATACGACGTGGAAATAAATCGTTGCAAGTTTGATAATAGAAAAAAAAGAAAGAAAAAACAAACTCTTTGCAATTGGTTAATGCCAATGAAACCGAGTTTTAAGAGATGGTTGTAAGAAAAATATACATAGGAAAAAGAAGAAAGTATAAGTTTATTATTATTGTTTTTGTTATTATTATTATTGTTGTTATTATTATTATTATTATTATTGCTTTATTCATAATATTTTATTTTGATTTATCTAACAGAAATAAATAAAAAAAATGATCTTGGTCAGCAAAGTTTTTCATAAATGAAACGTAAGCACGCGCAAAAACACGCGCGCACACACACATACACACACATTTTCAACACTTATGTTAGCAGGTATTTAGCTATAAGCAAACATAAAAGTACGCATATTCTTAAATGCTATGCAGGAAGAGCAAACATACACAACAAATACACACATATATATATTTATATTAAATTATGCTTGCGGAAAATTACTTATGAACAAGTAGATATTTGAAGTTCATACAGACATGACACATACATCAATATATTTAAAAAAAAAATGTGTTGAAACGTTCTACCTACTTACCTACATGCATATCTGCCAATATGTATATGTATTCCCCTATATTTACATTTAAATAGTTGTGATAAAAAAGTTCAAAGATTTTCATTCAATAGGAATATGGATATTAACAACTAAAATATTAGGTTTTATTTGTAACCAGTCGTGGGCACAAGAGAGAAAATTCAATAAAGTTTGCATCAAGTGATGTTGAGTGTGAAGTAGATCAATTTAATAGACAAGGATGACAATCTGGGAAAAAGACCTTAGTTCTTTTAATCACTGGACGTGAATTCAAGCCTATTTGCATCTATCTATCTATCTATCTATCTATCTATCTATCTATCTATCTATCTATCTATCTATCTCAGGATTCACGCGGTGATCAAACTCTACACAGCGTAATGCCCTACGAAATCAGGTAATATGCACTTCTGTACGGCGAGAGATCTATCTATCTATCTATCTATCTATCTATCTATCTATCTATCTATCTATCTATCTATCTATCTTTGATATTTTATTTCATTTATTATCTCTTTATGATATTTTATTTCATTCATTATCTATCTTTTTTCTTCTTTTTGAATCGGTATCACCCCAAGCAAGGCAGTGCAGCTACTAACACGCAAGGGGTTGAGGGTGTGGAGGAATTAGGAATAGTAGGCGGACCTGTCCGTCCACTCTTCCGGGGTTATCAACAATTTACTGCTTGTTATTTTAAATTTTTTTCCTTTTATACACATTTAACACTGGTGTAAGTTTTCTTCTGTATTCTCTGTTTTGTGTGCACTTATATGAATATATAATATCGCACATTATGTGCTGGTGTTAAAAGAATAGTACTTGATGTAGAATAAAGCTATAATTTATATATTAATAATAAATATACATTTTTTCTCACCGGCAGTACAAATCTGAGTTTCATGCAATCAACGCCTGAAGATTGCATTGGCCATGAAACTTTTGCGCTACCGGTTGGAATATATATATATATATATATATATATATATATATATATATATATATATATATATATATAGTAGATGCACATAATATCCCACGTCGATCGCACGACTCAGAGTTTTATGCAATTACACAATAATCATCTGCTGAATACTCGTTTAGCGTTGCAAAATTCGCGTTCTCGTGGAGTTGATTTCAAATTGTGTCTCAAAACCTTATATTATTGTTGTCTATAATATTTAAATTATTAATAATTTGCATAGCGCGTTTATGTAAATCCAAAATATTTGAAAAAGATTTTTTTTTAATTCTTCCTTTCGACCTTAAGACTTTCATCGATATAAATTATTAACAGTTAATTCAAATATTATAGACAACAATAATATAAAGAACAAGTTTAAAGACACAATTTTAAATCAACTCCACGAGAACGCGAATTTCGCATCGCTTAACGGTGAGCCAATATTCAGCACCTGATAATTGTGTAACTGCATGAAACTCCGAGTAAGTGCTATCGGCGTGGGATATTATGTGTATTCACTAATATATACTTAATTTCGGAACTTCTAAAAAGATAGAATTATCTTTGAGAAAGCTTCATAGGATTTTCCGTTTCAATATGAAATTTCTAACCTTAAATTTTCGCGTTTTTTAAATTTTTGTAAAATTTGTACATTCGAGTTAATGTTTTAGAATTATTTAGAAAAATGCACGGAGACATAAGTTGGTGTATTTCTTTTAAAAATCTTACTTTGGAAAATATTTAATTACAACGCAAAGAAATTTACACATTCTGTGTTGGTTTGACTTGAGCATCAGGAAAATAAAGTGTGTATAGCAATAATTATATATTGTATCTTTTTTCAATATGTTATTTTTCATTCTGTAGCTATTACTTCTGTTTTGTTCGAATCATCTAAATTGGCAGCCATCATTTGGGAAGAAACTAAGTATAGTTCAAAATTAATTCACGTGTGTCTTGCTTAAAGTAATACAATCAATCCATCTTCAAACCGTACTTTATTTCAGTTGACATTAAAAAAATACTATTCTGGTCTGCACCATCCGTTTGGTATTGTAAAACGTGTACAGGGATTCATGATTAGAGAAATTCGTTTTATTTAGTTAAACACAATCAAGAAGAAGTAACATTTTTTAACCTGTTTTTTTTTTGCTTTCTTTTAATGACGCCATATTGAAATAAAAGAAAATAGCGCAGCATGCCTTTCCATTGAATGATAATGTAATCAATGTACCGCATTGAAACTGAGCACTTTGTAAGCGAAACAGACCAGAAAAAAAAAAACGCAAAATTAATCTTGTTGGAATGACGTCAGCATTTCTCTTCTTGTATAAAGCAATTAAAAAATTTGCGCAGCTCTCATAGCAAAGGTTTCCTGTTGGTCATGCGTCGCATTTAGCTAGACGAACTTTGTTGCATTCGTTAACAAATATCATTGTATAAAAAGTGTTCATCAAATACGTTGCATATGGTATATCTTTGATAAACAATGGATATCTAAACAGAATATAAAAAAAAATATGTCACTTGTAGATATAATAATTTCTCATATTTCTTTATTCATGCATGAATTGAACACCGAAAGTGTCGATTAAAAATAGCACATTAATTAAACTGACAGGAAACCTTTTTAATTTTAAAATGATATTTCATGGTCAGGTGAAGATATTCTTCTAAAATTAAAAATTAAAATAATGTATAAAAAAAATTAAAAATAGTTAATAATAAATAAATAATAAAGAATAAAATAAAACGAAAATAAATTATAAAATAAAAGTAAAATAAGATATAAAAAATAAAAATAAAAATTGGAAAATAAATAAAAATATAAAATATATATATATATATATATATATATATATATGTATGATAAGATAAATAACAAATAGGAAACGTTTATAAATGGAATATGAATATTAACAACTAAAATACTTTTATTAAAGCTTCATGAGAGAATAATAATAATTTAATAAAAGGGAATCATGTTAGATTTATAAATGTTTCCTATTTGTAAAGTGAGTGCTGAGTGCAAAAAACAAGACAAAACACAGCGCTCAAAAGAACAGAATTATGTTAAAACAAGTATTTCCTTCTTTACAGCACGATGCTATTCAAAGTTTCATGCACTTGGCTTCATAAACTCGGTCACAAATTAATGTCTCATGATTGAATAACATATAAGGATATATTTAATATATATATATATATATATATATATATATATATATATATATATATATATATATATATATATACCTAGTGAGCCAGACAAACCTAGGTAGGTTTGTCTGGCTCACTAGGTGTATCTAGGTCTGCTCTACGGTTGTATTGAGCTCTTTTGTTAGTTAGTTGTTACTCGTATCGGGGTTTTTTTCTTTGGGCTTCAGACCTGCATCTGTGCGATTTTTTTTGTCGGCAGAAGTTCATGTTTGTAGCTTTTCTTTTTTTTAAAACCTTTTTTTTCCCTCGAGATTGATTTGATTAGCAAATCAAAAATTCGAGGGTTTTTCGAAACGAGTCTAGTTATCTATATTTATATATATATATATATATATATATATATATATATATATATATATATATATATATATATATATATTAATTAGGAAAATGAATAACAAAGTGGAAAAATCTGTGTAACGCATTTCCTTCTCTAGAAGGATTTAATCGGATTAAAGTAATGTTTTAGTTGATGAAATTATATATATGCAAGAAGGAGTTGGGTAGATATAAATAGCATCTTCAGCGTTTATCAGTAGATAATTATAACTGATGCTTGAGTTTTACATCTTCCCTTCCTACGTTTATAATTTCATCAATAAAAAACATTACTTTAGCCCGATGAAGTATTTCTAGATGACGAAATGCGTTACACAAAATTTTAAAGAATTTTGGGACCATTAATGATGGTTCTCCTAAATCGCTGGTACCATCACTGACAGAAATGCTTCAATGTTGATAGAGCTTATGTGGATACTTAAATCTTAAAAATTGTGCATGATCTTTTTAAATGTCCCTGGTGTTTGTATGTTTTAATTCCAGAAACACTAAATAACTGCACAAAAATAAATTCGTGGAAATGCACTTAAATAACTGTGTTATATACACCAACATTGCCTTAGGATGAAAAAACATCTATTTTATACAGAAATATACATTACTTTAAACATAATCTGCTTCTCTGCTAATGCACTTAATCCACTGGTGTAAATGATTAACATAGATCGAATAATATACAAATGCAAATTTCCCATCAATATTCAGCGATTAACTCCGTGTCAATCTATATGCTTATTGGTCTTTTCTTGTAAATCGATACATATTTATGCAAATATAATCTCAAATATATATAATACTGAATTGGTTATATTCAATGTAAAATCATACATATCTATCTATCTATCTATCTATCTATCTATCTATCTATCTATCTATCTATTTTTCCCATTCTGTTCATATCTATCTATCTATCTATCTATCTATCTATCTATCTATCTATCTATCTATCTATTTTATCCATTTTTCATATCTATTATCTATCTATCTATCTATCTATCTATCTATCTATCTATCTATCTATCTATCTAATCAGACGACGATGGTGATACAATTGTATATAGGTGCCTGACAGCTGGTTGACCTAGGGGTAAAAACTAGCTGGTCACTGTCAGTACCACAAAAAATAAACTAGTAACATTCCATCATCACCAAGCAGATCATAAATTTTCGTCTATCGCTATGAACGGGAGTTCTTTCAAATAGGCCCTTTGTGTTACCATTACAAAAGCTAGATCAGGCCGGAATACTGCTGTTAAATCCGAAAAGTATTTACGCGGCTTTCTGGATAATGAATTATTTTTCACACTATCTACTACACGTCGCGAGCCTTTCGCTAATCCATCGCTATTTCCATGGAAAGTTGTTCAGCCGAGTTATCTTCCTTACTTCCACCAGTTCTCACCTTCACGGATAAGATCCATCATGCCACGTACATTGTAGCGGGCCACCCTCATTCACTTCGTATTCCAGTAGTGAGAAGGAAGTTCTACCCGAATAACTTCTTCCCACGAACCGCTACTTTGGTGAAACCGACTTCTTAGAGGGTGTTTCCACGACTATTACAACCTCTTCAACTTTTCGAGTTAACCGTTATCTTTCTTTTGTATCTTTATAAACTGCGCCTCATGTCTTTAACTTTTTCCGCTCATACATCAAACACCTTCAGTAAGACTCTATCTCGAGTGGCTCTTGGGACTTGTGCAGAGAGAAGATTAGTAAAAAAATCTATCTACTTCATATCTGACATTCGAAGAATTGCATACTCACGTATTAACATATACATTTTATAAAATTATTAAAACTTATATTATTTTTTTATAATTAATTTCCTATAAATCATTCGATGCAATTTGGAAAAACAAACAAGCTAATAACAAATACTAGATCTTAAATTAACTTAGCTACTTACGATATTTTCAAACTCTTCATCATTCGAATCACAGCTTTGCACTCTTCAGACTCTTAAATGGGAAAATTTCGTGTTTTTATATTCACATGATTAAATTTCTTATAATTAAAACTCAAATCCAAGCAAAAAAAGCAAGCGGACAAACATAATTAGATTTTATTGTGTGACTTCTACGCTCAGATTAAACTTTAAAATTCAAAAGTTTACATGAATTAAGGGACATACATATTTGAAAATTGTTGACTTAAAAACACTCACAATTATCGAAAGTTGAATTTGTAATTAAAGATTAATTAACTCAGTAGGTATTAAAATTTCTCTGAAGGTGATAAAGGAGAAAATTTTGATCATTTAAAGTGTGAGAAAAATTCATATTATTTTATAAAGGTTTCCATACAAACAGACAAATTATTTTAGTTGAAGCCTAAAAAGCTACATGAAAATGTTTTATTGAAAAAGCCATTAAAATTCGAAATTCTGTATCTATTTTAATGATAGAAAAAAGATTAAATTGAATCAGAAAAGAATATATTTGTGACTGAAGTAGATCATATATATCAGACCTAGGGTACTTCGATATGATTTGAAAGCTTGACTTGCTAGATCAATTACGACTGAGTAGTGAGTTCGATTCCAAAAGGTGCTCTACACTTTTGACCTTGTGTCACATCTAAGCTACGTTTAGAAAATCTTTTGGGCACTTAAACGTGGTGTAATGGCTAAAGTAAATCAAGTAAATTTAATTTTTAGACTAGATTACAGTGTATGTCTGAGATAGAAATGGATACGTATACAGAGAAGCATGACGAGAAAATTATATTCTTCTTTATATATCGTGTCCCCGCAGGCATCCATTTACTCAAGCTCGCAAAGAATCAATTAGACAGTGAAATACTGAATGAATAAATTCATGCTTCCACAAAACTGAATTTTTCGTACTCGATCAGTTGCCGAATTTATTCTGATGAACAGCACGTATTTACTATTTTGAAAAAAAAATCATCGAGGGTCAAAGTGGATAGATTCGCGAGTCAAACGCCACACACGGGCTGTATTTTGTGCAGGTCTAATATACAGGGTGCGGTGGATAAATTGTCCTCTAAATTAAGTAATAATGAAAATAGCAGTGACATCATATTTTAACTGATATATTTACCGTAATTACAAAAATATCTTGAAATATTAAAGAGTAAATTATTCAATAAAGTAGCCATTGACTTCAATCGCGACTTCAAGACGACATCGGAACTTCCTACAACTCTCCTGTACGGTTTCCTTGTTTAAGTTAGTGAATGCTGTCATAATCCTTGACTTCAGCCCGTCTTTGGTGTTACAAGGAGATTTTTTTTGGTTTCTCGTCCAACTGCTCCCACATATAATCATCCAGTCGGTTGAAGTCTGGAGAGATATAAAGGTTGATATGCTCGTCGAAATTGCCTGACCATCATAACTGGGTTCTCTTGCTTGTGTGGCATGGTGCAGAGTCCTCTTGCCAGACATAGGGTCTTACAAAAGCCACACTCTTGATCCAGGTCAACACTACCCCCTCAAGGCACATGATACAGGCCTTCGTGTTTAGTCTGAGGCCCTCACCAACAAATTGGGGAGTTTTTTTTCCTACAAGAACAATCAGATTGAATTATTGCCTTTGTAAACCTCATTAGACTCATCAAACTCTTTCCGAATCCTCTGCACTCTTAAATTGACACCCAAACACTCTGAAACGTTCGTATTGGAGTTCCGGTACGATTGCCAAGCAGTGCAGTATGCTGTTTCCAAATTTCTGGTTGAGTGAATTGTGTCATGGTGCTCTTCCATAATCAGGGTAGCAACATACTACGTTTTCTTGGCCTAACGTTTTCCACTAACATTAAGTGGAGTGACTCAATCGAATGAATTGCTTCGTCCGTGAAGTTGGTTCACTGTGTCGTGCCAGAAGATTTTTCACGTCAGACTCCATCTTGCACATTTATAAATCTACCATTCGTCTGTTGCCATATCTGGTGTTTGGTGCTCCTGTGATACATCTCGACATTCCTGGCAAAATACAAAGAATAGTTTGTAATGTAATCGACTCTGACCAGGCATGACGACTTCAGTCACTTTCTCACCGACGTGATGTGGCTTCCCTCTGTCTTTTCTAGAAATATTTTCATGGCAACTCTTCTGATGATCTTTTTTTCCTGGTGCCCTGAATACATGAATTTAACCGTCCAACTAGACTGGCAATTAGGTCTCATAATTTTACTGTTGAACTAGCTAGATGCAACCGCCATTTCTACTCTTCTGCTTGTGCAACTCCCTTCCAATTTCTTGCTTCCCTGATAACTACAATCTTAAAAAAACTCAAATGAAATGCCAATCGCCATTTTCTGTCTTCTTTTAACCTGTCCCTTTTTTTTTGTTCTTTTCCTCAATCCGCTCCAATCTCAGTTTCTCTTTCTTTTTCAACTTCACTACTTTAACCCCTTGCGTTCTAGTGGCATTACCGTCTTGCTTGGGTGAAATGATTAAAAATGTCTCATAATCGTAATAATGTGCAAGACTTGTTTAAACTTAGTAAATCTCTCGGGCGCCTTGTGTAGAGCAGTACTTATCTATCTCGTTTTACAAGACCCCTACGTAGCGAGTTCGATATTAACATAATACTAGGATACTGTGGCCGTGTACCAGACTAAACAAAATTTGGTAAATATAAACATGCAAAATTATGCAGTAAATTCTCTTTTGTATAGGCTTTATTGAATGTTAGTGTATTGAATGATTTTTATGAAATTAAATCGATTATATCATTATTCGATTGCTAATATTTGCGCACAGCCAATGGGAAAGGTATAAATCTATTTCTCTCCCAGCTATCGGTAAATAGCAGGACAAACTGGGTAGAAACCGGTCTAGAAAAAGAAAAACTGAGTTCAAACCAGCCTGGAGATGCTTAGGCTCCATCAGCATATCTTGTTCAAGACACACTACTTCTACTACGACTGCAATACATATGGTGCATCTACGACACTAATTGTTTACAGGAATCGTAATGGGATCATTAATGGTCGTCATAGTACAGTTAAATGCTTTTGTAAAATTAGGTGGATAATAAGTGCTTTCGATTGAACTTTTGACAGTTTTAAGACTGTGAATAGTTTATCAAAGTTTTAACAGCTAAATAGTTCAATTTGATTAACGTGACAAAACCAAATTATCTGAAAATTCTTCCCCAGTCACAAAACAAACGCCAACAATTAAAACTGTGGACTTATTTTCTTACAACGAAATCTTTCAATAGCACAAGTGCGACTTTATTCATCTAGATGATAAGCAGGTTTTGAAAGTTCGAGAAAGATGAATGTGTTTATCATCAACGTTTGAGGCGGAAGTTCGACACACAAATACAGTGGCTCATGGAATAAAGCATGGAATAAAGACTTTTGAGCTGTAGTAGTCTCGCGATCACGAGAAATCAAAAAATCTAATTCCGATGATTTCACAGAAAAAAGGAAACCGTTCTACTGGCGGGAAAAATTAGAGAAGAGGACGTGAAATTGGGCATCTCCAGAAATTAAGACCCCAGATAATAATCAATTTGCCCAAACATCTCTTTCCCATGTTTAATATTGCCTTTTACTGATATACTTATTACTTGGGGCACCTCAATGTGGTATAATGGGTAGTAAGCTTATCCCGCTAGAACAATTGCGACTGAGTAGTGAGTTCGATACTGACTGGGTGTCCCATACTTTCGGCCTTGTGCCACATCTGAGCAACGCTTGGAAAATCACTATATTTATTACTTGAAAATAATCTATTCATCTACAAACACAAACCAGAAACATTTTACTAACAACTACATTACAAGAATTTTCATACATCTAACGAACTTAGACAAAAAAAAATTCCTCCTGATACAGCCCATCATAGCACAGCCTTTCCGTGTCTTTCTTGACTTTTATTGAGGCGCCATTTATTTGGGAAATTGTTTGCTATCTTGGAGATGGTGTCATTTGAACCAATTGCCAGCAGTGTGTTTAAGATCGCAAGAGCTGGTGTTTGTCTCACTTCAGGTTTGACTTATTGTTGATTTTAGTACCACTTCTTTGGGCAAAGTTAGCACTACTTCCCAGCT